ACTCATTTGCTTATAATTTTTCCATTCACTTAACTTAAATCTTACCATTCGGGAACAATTTATTTGAATTCAACCTCATGTAACATTATATCAACTAAAACGAATATAAGCCCCATACAAAAAGCGAGTATGCGCCACATTGCAGCCACAACAATTACTCATGAAGCGAGCAGTTTCGCAGGCGCTCCGCAGTTTGATTCCCCAAAAATTTAGTAATGAAAAAATAAGAGAGTTGCAATAAAAATTAAAAAAAAATAAATAAATCGAGGAGTTAAACTAATAGCTTCAATTGTTACAGCCTGGCCGCTTACACATGACTGCTTGCTCGCGTGGCCCTCGTGCGATGCCGATTGTATTCAAAGAAAAAATACAAAAACGAAAGACTTCAACAACTGCGAACGAAATTGATTTAATTTTACCTTTTCAGGCGCCACCTTTTTCCGCGCAAGCACGAACGTCGTGTTGGGGACCGCGGGAGTGGGAGAGTGTTCTTATAAGCCTGCTTTTGGTTGTTGTTCGTACGTGGAGCACCTGTAGCCGAGCTAGCAACAGTTTTTAACCGTTAATTTCTTATTTATTTTATTTGTTGGATATTGTTTGCTACTGTTGTTGTTGTGTAGATATATCTTTTCAAGTGTAGCAAAGTGGAAGCGAACTAGTTAAAAGGGAGAATCAATTAAAATTTGCACTGTAACCCAAAAATTGACTGAATGGAAGTTCTGGGATGCAACAGACAGGCCGATCAAGCTACGTGTAGCAATATATGTGTACTGGCGTGTGCTAGGACAGAATGCTTGAGTGTTTGCGGAATTAACTGTGTACGAGTAGGGAGGTTGAGGTAGAATTTAACCTAATAACGGGCACTTTGACGACAGCGAGTGCAGAGCAAACAGTGTTGAAGTCGGCTAGAAGAACGATTATTTAAGAAAGTTTGGGTAAAGTAAGAGAAAATGTTCGAAATAAACAATGCCGAGAATCTTAAAGTTTAAGTACTGCAGTTCGAGGCAATCAACCTTTTGAACATTTATGTAAGGGTGAGCTTATTTATAAGAGGTGCTGAAATGAGTTGACAGCATCTAATTTAAAAAAAAATATTTTTCTGTTTTTCTTACCAGACGACCATAGTATAAAAATTTATATGGGTGCTTTGTGAAATTTATCCGGTCCCAACCATTTCTCGACATATTTATTTGTAGACGAAATTACTAGACAATACTGGGTTTCAACGTCGGTGCTTAATATTTATACTTGCAATAGGTTCAAATAATAAAATGTAATATGACAGCCTGGCTTGGGTATCATTTAGTCATAACCATTATTCGGCAGAACAAAACTCTTACAAAAATAGTCGACAATAAAAGATTTCAGCTTCTTAAATGATTATTTGCACCTATCAAAAGTCTAAAGGTTTTTAGAGGGCAAGGTGTAATTTTGATCTGAGTGCATTGATTTTCATGGAAAACCAAGCCATGACGAAATTAGTCGACAGTTATAAATTTCAACTCGATACCTTTGAAAATGTTTCTACTAGCTCATGAACAAATAATTTGATCTATGACAGCTAGGTCTAATTTTCACCCGAATGCGTTCATTTTTGAACACGTGCATATAATAGAAAAATTAGTCGACAGTTCTGAATTTCACTTCAATACTTACGAATTTTTCGCTATTCGCTCATAATTGAACAAATTGTTCTATTACAGATAGGTCTAATTTTCACCCGAATGCGTTCATTTTTGAGCACGTGCATATAATAGACAAATTAGTCGACAGTAATGATTTTCACCTCAATACTTACGAATTTGTCCTTTGTAGCTCACTAGAAAATAAATTGATCTATGAATGCTGGGTCTAGTTTTCAGTCGAATGCGTTCATTTTTGTGCACGTGCATATGATGGCAAAATTAGTCGACAGTTATGAATTTCACCTCATTACTTACGAATTTGTCCTTTGTAGCTCACTAGAAAATAAATTGATCTATGCATGCTAGGTCTAGCTTTCAATCGAATGCGTTCATTCTTGAATACGTGAATGTGATAGTAAAATGAGCCGAGAGTTAAGAAGTTCACCTCAATACATAAGATTTTGTCCCTAGTAACTTATAAAAAAAAATTATATACGAGAGTTCTAATTTTTTTCTAAATGCGTTTATTTTTGGGCAGGTGCATTAGAGGAAAAAACTAGTCGACAGTTATGAATTTAAACTCCTACCAGGTCACAAACAAAAAAGTTTTCTTCAGTAGCCGGTTGTAATTTTTAACCTATCGCGTTTATTTTTGTACACAATCAAGTCAAGATCAAATTAGTCGACGGAAATTAATTTCAACTTCCTTGCTGTTTATTTGCTCCATTTTTGGGAAAGTATATCAAGTCCGGTAAAACTAAGGATTTTCGTCAATTCACCACTAATTAAGCCCAGATAATCGAATGTATGAATATGCCGACAACTTCTCAAGTAAAATAACTATAAACTTTCTACATGTTGCGTAGTGTATAAAAAACGCGAAGAAAGAGCGTTGCTAACAAAAAGTCATCGAATATTTGAAAAAAAAGGAACTTGAGAAAGAAAGTAGCGAAATGAAGTTGAAAGGAATTTAATTTTGCGTTGATCGCCGCCGAAAGCGCACGGCTTCTCGGCTTCTTGGCTGAGCTACGAGCGACGCACACAAACATTTAGCATGCAAATGTCGCACAGAAATACGAGGACGCGAAAAAACTGTTTGCATTGCGTGGCGAAATTGAAAAAGTATGCGAAAGACGCACACACACATATACATATATATACTATATTTATATAGTAGATGCTTGTGTACTTATTTGGAGAAAAATTTTACAAAAAAGTGCAATAAGCCAAATGAAGGAAGGAATACAATTTCAAAAGTAAAATTCGAAAAGACAAATAAAAGTTGGCGAATTAAATTTTTTCATTTATTTTATTCTGTTTTGTGATTTTTTTTTTTTTGAAATTTCTTTAAACTATTTTTTGAAAAAAATTTGCTCCACTCAAAAAGCAGTTGGCACATTGTCAGCACTGGAAAATTGGTGTCGCGTGGCAGTCGTGCTGTTGGCTCGATTTGCAGCGGAGTACGGCAGTGGACTTCAGAGGTGCAGAAAGATGGCTGAGAGTGGTGACTCTGGAGCTGAGGCAACTGCAGCAAATGCAATAAAGAATTTAATCGACTTTCAGGCGGCAAAAAAGTGACAATCAATCGGCTGGTACTGGCACGTTGATCCATATATCTCTTTATTTATATATATGTATATGTGCTTTGGAAAGTACATAAATACTTTCCAAAGCACCTCTGTGCGCCGTTAACGTTCGATTGCGCTTTCCGCTACTTTGTCGGGTTATTATTTGCATATGGTGTACGCGCTGCCGCCAACGCTGCCTTTGCCATTCTAGCCGAGAGTGAGCTCGCTTCAGGTTGCTTGGCTATAATTCATTTTGAATTGAAAAGTCGTTATGGCGGATGGTTTTAAGCGCTGTGCGTTGTTTGAACTGTTTTGCAAAATTTATGCGCTTCAGAAGGAAAATTGTTCGATGAATTTATAGTCTTGAGGTATATTTGCTACATTAAAATTAGATTTTTCTCGGTTATGAAATTAGAATGTGTGCGGAGAAGCACTTTGGATTGGATGTTTCTTCCTCCTCGGTTTCCACCAGCGGGTATTGAATGTAAAACCTTTAATGATGAAGTGTTTTTTTTTTCCATCCGGACAACATTATCTAGCTACCACAGCCGCTGTCTGTCGTTCAACTATGTCAAAGTTTCCTTATATCTCGTGCAGCTAATTGTTTAATCGACTTCAGTACAGGCCGTTACCATGGCCCAAAGGATCATAAATCTACCGAAAACTTATCTCCCGAACACTCTCGAACACTCCTAAGGTCTACTCATCAGATGGTGTCATGGTCCATGACTCCGCCCCATATAGTTGGACGAGAATGATGAGGGACTTGTAGAGTTTGGTCTTTGTGCGCACTCCTTCCGAAGTCGGTACGCTACGTTGGTTTTTGTTGGTGTTCATGCTTATTCCAAGATAGATGAATTTATCTGTGACTTCAATGACTGTAAACACTAACGTGTTAGCTAAGATACAAATGCGATATTTATTCGACGACAGGAGATATTTCGTCTTGTCCTTTTTCCCAACCAGACCCATACGCTTCGCTTTCTTATCCAGTCTGGAGAAAGCAAAACAAACGGGGCGGATGTTAAGGTCAATAATATCAAAATCATCATCGGTGTATGCCAGCAGCTTTACACTCTTATAAAAGGTTGGACTTTCTCTATTTAGTTCCGCAGCTCGTATCTTTTTTCCACCAATAAATTGAAGAAGTCACACGACACTCGCTGGTATCGAAAGGCTCGGAGAGGTCGGAGTGCTTTTACAGTTGCTCAATGTCAGCTTACACAGCGGTACTAGCTTTGCGGGGATACCGGACATAGCAGTTTAGAGGCAGCTCCTTTTCCTGCTGTCGAAGGCAGATTTAAAGGCGACGAAGAAGTGATGTGTGCCATCTTCGTTTCACGGATCTTTTGGCGCACGGTGAAAATCTGGTCGATAGTAGATTTTCCAGAAGGGCAATTTGTTGAAGGTGGGGTTCAGTTTTTCATATACTATACTCGATAAAACCTTATATGCAATTTTAAGGAGGCTTATTTCACAAAGTGGGTACAGCATACTTAGGTTCAAATCGTGGGATATGTCAGTTCCGGTAATCTATCGGCTTCTGCCGCCTTGTTGTTCTTATGCTGTTCTTTCGATCTTTACGAACACCAATATTTTCGCTTGCAGCTGTAAGTAGATGTGAGAGTCGAGTAGAAAACCGTTTCACTGTCGGTTATAATAGTGGCTTATTGACTCGTACCTTCTACGCCTTTGTTGGCTTTTAATTTAATTTTTTTATTATTATTACATTTTATTATGTTTACATTTTAGTTGTTTTTATTTCCGGTTTATTTCAACTTTCGTTCTTTTTATTTTTCTTTTCTAGTGCGCGACCATTGCCATCGTCAACGAACCGAAGGCGTGGATTTGAAGGCTCGTAAAAAACTGATCATCGCTAGTATCTTGTGTTTGGTCTTTATGGTCTGTGAGATTATTGGTGAGTAAAATTATATAAGTAAAATATATATTATTTGTTCTCCGAAAGTCCGGATCGAGAGATTTAATTTCAGATTTAAGTCCTAATCATCAGATATACGCTCGTTTATCTCCCCTTTCAGTGATCTGTTTGTTATAAAATACCGCAAGACTTTTTTGACAACCTATTATTAGTAGTCTAGAAAAATCTCGAAATTGTTATGGGTATACTAATATGTCAGTCCTTGACCGCAGAACATTTATATCTAGAATAAAATCGTCTCTGTTTTTCTCTTAATATACATATGTAGTTCCATATTTTTACTTTTCTTTCCCTTACTCTTTATGTCACGAATTTATTCAATTTGGGTTTGAAAGTAAACTGTTTCCTTGGAAATTGCTTGTTAATGAAGTTTCAATAACTTTCGTCCAAAAGAATTCTGTTTATATTTAATTAATCATTATGAAAGAAATATTAATATTTTCATCAACTGAATTTTTAACTTTCCCTTCATTAGCCATTGGAAGGTATGTTTATTCTCTGTATATATGAGTATTTATCAACTGAGACTTTTCCAATTATTTGTTCTACATATAACTAGTAGATTTATTCTACATGAAATAAAGGAGTAAAAACTTTAATAAATTTTGCAAAATGCCAATTAGTGCTGACTGTGTATATAGATGTCTTTATATAAATAGTTTTATGGTTGTATATGTAAGAATATTAGAAAAGTTGCAAAATATGATTGTGTAGTAGCTGCCATCTAGGAAAATGAGATGGTATCTGAAAGTATATTTAAAATTTTATCGTACAAGGAAATTGGTATGAATGGTAAGGTTATACAACTAGCATTAGTTATAGGCACTAAATGTTCTGATATTAAATTCCAGGGTTGAAAGTGATATTCAGTTTTCAGTTTTTAAATTTTCATGTATGTAAATGATAAAACTTATACCGCGGACGTCTATATCCAACGTATTTTTATAAAACTGCAAAAAAGAAGATTGAGAGTAATGACGGCCAAAGAAGTAGGGTTGGAACGACCACAAACATGCTGGATTTGATGAAATTAAATACCTAACCTGTTTAATTGAAGAATAATTCACATGTTGGTGCTTTATTACTTCTACTAAACACTAATTTAGTATAAAAATGAGAGCTTTTTCATACTTTCATGATTTCAAGAAATTTTTGCAAAACCTCGCCGATATCTGTTTTTGTTTTTGTAGCTACGGAAATCTTTTAATATCTTACTAATATCTCTTTCTTTAAGCGTAGAGAGATAGATATTTTTCCTTCCAAAAGCAATCGGCGTTTCAAGGTGTATTTAGTATAGAAGGTGTGAGTATTCATAAGCTTACTAGCATTTTGTTGGAACCCTTCTTTTGTTAAAGAACATTATTACGGTTCTCGTTTTACCAAAATATTTTTGATCATATTGATTTGAACAATTGAGTGTTAGACTTAGTTTAAAGTATGTTATTATTGATAACCCTTCAAGGAATGAGTCGTTGGACGATTTTCTTACATATATCTTAATCTTCATACTGTCAATATTAAATTAATGTTTACTTTTCATTTCCTGGGTCCAGATGATCTTTATAAATTACCACTTTTGAATGGACATTTTTTTGGAAGTTTTTTTTTTTTTTTACTAAAAAGAGAACAAAGCAATTCGAAATTCATTCCATAGGCCGCCTGTTATGGTTCACATATGATTTGACCTTGTATACATTGTGAACTCCTTAACTAAGGGCGGACAGTGTGACTTAGGACTCGCCTTACATATAATATTTAGCTTGCCCTTAAGTGATCAAAATTTAAAGTTTCATACTTGTCAGTCTCAATCAAAAGCTCTTTTTACCCTCAGTGGTTTCATATGGCCTTCTGCTCCTTGATCGAACTTTGTATTATTTCTTGGATCGATTTAAAACAGGTTCCACGAAATTTCAGTTTGAAGAACAAGAAAAAATCACACGCAGCCCAAGCTGGTGAATGATGGATGGTATTCATTGCATTTTTGGCTTTAAATTCGGTCACAATCGTGGCTCAATGCGATGATGTACTAGCATCGTGTAAAATTCCTTAATTCTTCTTCCACAATTCCAGCTTCCTATTGACCATCTATTCTTCTGGAACAAATTTATGATGCGTCAAACCACGAATAAGAAGAACAATCTCTTTAATTTTTGAGAGGATTTAGCGTGCTTTTTCTGGTTTCGCCTCGTTTTTTTTTACCATTCGGATGATTGTTGACTTGTTTGCATGTCAAACTCATCGCAGTGGGAGTTAGAAAGCTCTCCACGAATGTGGGGTTGGAATTCGCACGATCGAACATGTCCAAAAAGACCTGCTTACGGTACTCTTTTTGAAAAAAAAAAAAAAAAATTAGCTTTATCGGAACGAGTTGAGCAAGAACGCGTTTCATACAAAAAATATCCGCCAAAATCATTCAAACGACTGTCGAGCTCTCTTGCCTTCTCTTCAACATACAATTTGCAACCACCATATCTTTCCCTTTTTTCAATACTTTTATCAGTTGAAGAGGTCGAAGGTCATCCAGAACGACGTATGTCTTCAACGATTTCTCGACCATCTTTGAAGACTGAAGATAAACCACCCTTAGAAGATAGACGAACTCATCTACGACTTCGATGTTACGACTGTCAACATTGCAGTAGGAGCCAAGTTGCAAGTGCGACGAATCTTTGCTTGTTGACAGGAGATATTTTCGTCTTGTTTTCATTCATTACCAAACTTCTTCTTGCTTCGCCTCCTTATTCAGACTGGCGATCGCTTTCTTATCTAGTCTAAATATCACTTTATTTGAAAAGTTAGTGGATAGCGACTCCATTTACGTGAGGAGCTGCAGAGCGGCCTGAGTGAGCTGAGTTAAGTTCAGATCTTGAAAATATGGGCTGTATGGGATAAGGCTCCATACATCATTCCTTGCCTTCGTCTATGTCTTTAGTGAAAGGGATTAAGGTCTTCAAATCTTTTCTGCGACCTAATTGAATTGAACTGCGATAGGTGGAGTCTTGCACTCTTGAATCCTTTGAAATAAGGCTCTTGAACTACTTAACTTCATGACTTTAAGTGAATTAAACACGTTTTGGAAACTAACTATTCCTACAAGCCACCTTCACCACAAATACTATTAAAAATTGTGATCAAACTTTCAATTTCAACTAAGACTCTACTTTTTCGTAATGAAAAACTTTTACAACAGCAATACCACGAGCGTTTGAATGGTTGAAGAAACTTGCACAACTCAAAACATCACAGCACAGAACTGGACACATAACGACATACACTTTGGGTATTGAGACATGCAACCGTGTGGCAATTAAACAAAAATTTTAAAGTTATACAAAATTTCATTAAAAATGCAGCGAAGCATAAATGAAAATAGAAAACAGTTTGGGTAAAGTGCGAAAGAAGTGACGAGTGGCGAGTTGGCAAGTAACGAGCAACAAGCAGAAGCTGCGCAGCAAGAGAGGTGATTTGAAAAATTTGAAATTTAAATGTCAATAGAAAGAGGAGAAAAAAATTACATGAAAAGCTAACAGAGAAGAGCATAAGTATGCAATGGAGGCTGGAGGAGAGCAAGCGAAGTGACGCCTGCTGATTGACAAACTGACTGATGGGCCGCACTGTTGTTGGACATTTGTGTTTTGGAAAACCAAATAAAAATCTGGCAAAAGTTTTCAATAAAATGCAAAGTGGACACATGCCACACGTAGCGGCAGGAAAAAGATTGTGCTGCATGCTGAGTGTATTTGCCACAGCATTGTGTGTGTTGCATGTGAAGCACTTGTGTTGCACACTTGCTTTGGCCATGCAACATGCCGGCTTAGAATTGTCAATGGTTGTTTGGACGGCTTTGAGCTTACGGGCGACGTTGTGGCAGCTCATAGCTGAGGCAGGGCGCTACGCAGTCGGTCAATTTGGACTAACGGTTAGTTGTTGGAATGGTTGCATTGATAGTTTGCTCCAATGGAGGCTGGTGGCTCACTGCGCAGTTTAGTGTGAAGTAGATCCTCATTGATATGTGACAAGTATGTAGCAACATGGAAACACATGCATGCAAATATATAAATATACATACATACACGCTCCAAATGCCACTTGCAACAAAGCAACCAACAATTGTTTGCACTTGCTGTGCTTTTGTGCCTCCACTTTCTAGACAACTACCTCCGTGTATTTGTGGCATGTGGCAACAAAAGATTTGCCAACAATGTTGCAGCAATGCCACAGTAACCGAAAAAATGCAAATATACATAAATATCGATAGGCGGCACTATATGGTCTATAAACCCCTCTAGCACCCACTCCTCCATATAGACAACTTTGTTCCTCACATCCTTAGCCCTCCTCTCTACATTCTACCTCAACTCCCTTCTCTGTAATAAATGCCCACTATTAAATACATGACGCTTGAAACTATGAATATTTCAGTGTGTGTGCGTGTGTGTGTGGCAACTGCACAACAATCAATATGACTTGCAACCGGCGGAGAGTTAAACCAATAAACGAGACGTGCAGGCTGGAAAAGACACTGTGTTGCAGCAGTTGCATCAATATTTGACTTGCAACTAAAAATGTTCGGATTTTTGGATTTTTTGGTTAGTACTACTCTTGTTGTTGTTACGGTGTTTGTAGTTGCTGTTGTTGCCGCTGAAGTTGTTGCTGTTGTTTACTGGCATTTTATACAGTAGACTAAAATCTAAATTTTATAGTGGTCTCATGGCTTTCTGCAACTACGAACTGCCTGTCAAGCGTGCCACAGCAGCAGTTGCATATTTGATATGGCTCTTTAGGCAGTCGAAAGTTGTGCCAATAAAGGTAACGGCAGTGCAACAAAAAGTAGCTGGCTTGCAGTGTAAATACTGCAGTTGGCTTAAATGATCGGTGTGTGTGTGTGAAAGAAAATATGTGTGTGTTGGTAAATTACTCTAGTGCTTTGGAATATTTAAATATATTTATATGGAAATGTATTTCTATTCGAAATTTAT